CATTGGTGTGTGTGACAAAAAGGTCTATGTCCAGAGGGTCCCATAGTTGAAAAAGATGATGACATACTTGGCGATCTAACTCCCACTTGTGAGTCAATAACATCTGTCTGCTGAGGGTATCTGCCTCCTCGTTGTTGGTGCCAGTGAGGTGAATGGCAAGAGGAGAAATTCCCCTCGGGATGCACCAGTCCCAGAGTCATAGGGTGAGGTGAGCCAGGGGGGCAGACTTCATTCCACCCTGTTTGTTTATATAGAAGACAGTGACAATATTGTCAGAGGCAACTTGAATGATCGAAGGGCTTTGAAAACTGCCAAAAGTTCTAGATAATTGATGTGTCTGCTAGTCTCATGGCCATGCCAGATGCCTTGGCTGTGAAGACTGGCACAAAGAGCTCCCCAGCCTGTCAGAGTTGGGAACAGAGTTAATGACAGTTGAGGTAGACGGAATGGGATTCCGACAGGTAGATTGTCCTTTACTGTCCACCATGACAAAGTCCGAAGGATGGAGGTAGGCAGGTGAAGCAGACAGTGTGGAGAGTCTCGCTGTGGGTGAAAGAGGCGATTGAACAATAGCTGCAGCGGCCTCTTCCGCAGCCTGGCATTGAGAGCCATGGAGACCGTGGAGGCCATGTAGCCAAGCAGCTTTTGTACTGACAGAGCAGGTACGGTTCTCTCCATGTGGATTCAGTGGATGGACGAGTGAAGTTTCTCCTGACGATCTTGTGGAAGAAAGGCTCTTGCACGCAGGAAATTGAGACAGGCTCCGATGAAATCAATGATCTGCGAAGGAACAAGGCAGGATTTTTTATGATTAATACAAAGTCCAAGACTGTCAAGGAGAGAACATGTAGTACGAATCGCTGATAGAAGGCCTTCTCTAGAAGAGATGATCAACCAGTCGTCAAGGTATGGGTAGACGTGCATCCCTTGTAGTCTCAGGTGGGCGCAAACAGGGGTCATGCATTTAGTGAAGACCCTTGGCGTGGTAGCCAGTCTGAAGGGGAGAACATTATATTCAAAAAGGTCGAAGCTGATTGTAAAACGGAGAAGTTGTCTGTGAGATGGATGGATGCTAATGTGGAAGTAAGCACCCTTCAAGTCTAGAGAAGCGAATCAATCCTCTCTCCTGAGCAGCGGTAGGATATTTTAAAGGGTGGTCATTCAAAACTTTTTTGTTTTGATGAACTTGTTGATGCCACGTAGATACAATGTTGGGTGAAGACCACCGTCCCATTTTGGGACCATAAAATATCTTGAATAGAAACCCTGAAGCCTCTCGAGGCGCATGAGTTGTCGAATTGCTCCTTTTACAAAGCAGCTGGGAAACTTCGTCTTTGAGAACCGAAGAAGAGGGCATATATTGGATCGGTCCTGACGGGGGTATCAAATTTGCTTTTATATCCGTGCTCCACAAGGGACAAAACCCACTGATCAGATGTGATGGACTCCTAAATGGGGAGTCGACTCTGCAGTCAATCCCCAAAAGGAAGAGGGGAAGGTGGGTTTACGAGGAGAGGAGAGGTTCACTCGACCCGTCAAAGTTGCCACTTATAGAAGTCGGGATGGCGACAACTCTCTTGATAGCGTTGAGCTGCTTGTTTGCGATTCTGCTGCTGACGGGTCTGGAACTGCTGCCGGCTGGAGTATTGCAGGTATGGTTGATACCGATACTGAGGACGAGACCAGGACCACTTATGTCAGCTCTGGGCAGGAACTTCCATATGTCGAGAGGTGACACGAGCCACATGGATATTCTTCAACTTGTGGTCCATCCTCTCGTTGAACAGCCCGGAGACGTCAAAGGGCATGTTCTGAATCCTTCTCTTGGTCTCATCTGGGAAGTTGCAGTTCCAAAGCCAGGCGTGGTGACAGAAGGCTACAGCACCAATGAGGTCCCTTGAGTCGCAGTCAGCATGATGTCTCGCCATCAAGAGTTGTTGTATGGCCACCTGCAACACTTCTCTGGTGAAGACGCGTGCCAGGTCTCTCTGATGCTCCCGGAAGAGACATCATGCTTCTGCATCAAGAAGTACTGATAGCGTCACCTTGCAGTTGGAGATACAGAGGCTGAGACCTGTGGTGGCGTAGATACGGCGAGCCATCGTATCAACTTCTTGTCCTTCCTTGTCTTGAAGAGTGGAGTGCTCCCTTGTCTCACGGCCCTCAGACGACTTCACAACAATAGAGTTGAGCTTTGGATGACGCAGGAGGAATGGGATATCTTGTTCCTGTACCCTGCACATCGACTCATATCACTGTGAAGTCGGTTGCAGCTGGTTGGGGAACTGCCAGGATTCAGTCATGGCCTGACGCAGCGTTGTAATCAGAGGCAGGACGATGGCAGCAGATTGTTCCTTCTTAACGATATTGTAGAAGTTGACCATACTGGGATGGAAGCGGTGCTGGGCTTCGATCTCCAGTCACCTAGCCAATCTCGCCATCAGTTCCCCAAATGTCGAGTATGACTCCTTGGGTGAGCTAGGACCTTGCACTGTAAACACCGTGTCCGGTGAAGTTGACGCTGCATCCGAGTCCTCGGATCTGAGTCATAATGGAATGGAGGACTGGAAGAGGAGTCTGCCGGTGAGGAAGGGCGCCTCGTCTGAACAGCTGCCAATGTCAAGGGAGCCTCTCTCAGAACCAGAGATGAGGCAGCATGATGGCGATGGACGGATGGATAGTATCTGTAGGGTATGTAATCATCCCAGGGCTCACGATGGGAGGCTCCATAGGGCATCTGCACCCAGTCTCTGGACGATCGACTGGATACACGCTGCAGCTGGTGCACCAGCTTGAGGCGGGGTCCTCAGGGAGACCTCAGGAGAAGGCTGTGGAGTTGGCAAGTGCACCATTGGAGGGACCATCTGAGAGGAGTCCTGGATCTCTCAGTCAGAAATCAATCCCGGCAAGGCTGCCTCCTGACGGTCTGGCGAAGACAGGGCCGAAGGAATGATCCATTGAGGGGACCCTGACGAGGTCACCTGTATGGCCAGTTGGAGGCTAGGGTCACTCAGTGTCAGCATCGATGCCACGGTCAGGACCAACAGAGCGGACGATCCCAAGTCATGGTGATGTGGCTGGTCGGCCTTCTTCAGTTTACGGGCCGGGCCGCTTTGTCCGCCCTTTCTTGGCCTTCTTCTGGGCCGAGGACTTATCAGAACCGCTATGCTTCCTCTTCTTCTTTTGCTTGTGAGAAGATTGAGTGGAGCATTTAGTCTCCGGCAAAGTCACTCCATCAGCCGATGGGCGAGAGGGAAGAGCAGCCGAGGAAGAAGGCTGCGAAGTGGGCTGAGTCACAAGTTGGTCGGACACGAGCAGAGCCTGATCCCAAAGTAATTTACACAGGCAGTTTTCATGGTTTTTACGTGCCTGTTTGGTGAAGGCCTGACAACGGCCGGACTTATCAATTCTGTGGCCTTCTCCCAGACAGAGAATGCACAGATCATGAGGATCAGTGGGGGACATCTGGGCCCCACACTGAGAACACCTGTGGAAAGTCACACGCTGAGCCATCAAGAGAAAAATAGAGAATAGCAAAGTACAGCGAAAAAGAGTTAACGATAGAAGGGTTTTTTTATTATTATTCTTTTGAGGGGAAAAATGGGGATTTAGAAAGAACTTCTAACAGGGGAGGGAATGTAACTTGGAAGATCTTAACAAAGAATCTAACTAGAGAAGAAGGATAAACAGTAAAGGTTTAGAACAATAGTCAAGTGTAGCTACGGTAAGAGATGAAAGGCTCAAGGCACAGCGAACGGCGGGTCGCAAGAAGATTGGGGAAATGGTGGGCACTCCGCCTTCTTATACTGTGGGCAGGGAGGGGTGGGGAGTTCCCGCCAAACCATTAAGCTTTTGAATCTTCCCGGCTACAGGTACTGCGCATGTGCAGCACCCATATGTGTGATGTACAGAGGCCAGACAAAGAACATATATATTCTTTGTCAACACTGCATTCAACCCAAAGGGGACAGGAGCCTCAAAGCAATTTTCCTGGGTCAGTCTCCTTAGGGAAGAAAATTCTGTAATCAATACTGTTCTGAGATCTGTTTTCAATGAGACTGAAAGCACACGGGAGCTATCCCTTCCACGAAGAGCACACTAGAAACCTAGTTGATTTCACACTATAGATTAAGATGGCATATAGGAAAAACTGTTGTTAGCACAGTCACTGCACACCCTAAAATCTAGCAAGCTCATTGGCTTGCCAGGTTGTTATTTCCCAAGCATCTATGTGCTTACTAGGTTACAAAGTGGGATTTGAAAACAAAGAGTCTTTTAGTTATGTAGTTCCAAGCATAATGAACTACAATCAGAAAACATTTAAAAGTTAGAATTTAACACTAGGAAGTGCTAAAAAGTGGTAATTTATGTAGGTTGTTTTTGTTAGCCGCGAAGTCATGTCCAACCCATCGCGACCCCATGGACAACATTCCTCCAGGCCTTCCTGTCTTGCACTATCCCCCAGAGTCCACTCAAGCTCACACCAACTGCTTCAGTGACTCCATCTAGCCACCTCATTCTCTGCCGTCCCCTTCTTCTTTTGCCATCTATTGTTCCCAGCATTAGGCTCTTCTCCAGGGAGTCCTTCCTTCTCATTAGGTGGCCAGAGTATTTGAGTTTCATTTCAGGATCTGGCCTTCTAAAGAGCAGTCAGGGTTGATCTCCTCTAGAACTGACCGGTTTGATCACCTTGCGGTCCAAGGGACTCACAGGAGTCTCCTCCAGCAGTAGGGGTGCCCAGTTAATATTAGGTACAGGTACAATTATGAAGAAAATGAGAAGGATGAATGAAATTCATATGTAGTGATCCTGTGTTTATTTAAAGGGTTGTACCCTTTCCCTTCTAAACAAGACTTATAGTGGTTAACAGTCTAACCACAATTAAAACATATCAGTTCAAAACAAAAGAAGCAAATATGAAAATAAAAGATAAAATGTATAGCCCACCAAACCATAAAGTTGAGTAAATGCTGTGTAAGAAAAGTTTTACAGCTACATACCTGATTTGAATCACAAGCAAATCCATCTTGCTTATGTAGATTTGGTGGACACTAAAAACATAAATTTTATTTTATTTATTCTATACTGTTGTATAGCCAACACTTTCTTTTAATGCTAAAGCATTGTTTTATGGGACATTATATGTAGTAAAACAGATGAAGTAACACAGAGAAAGTAAAGATGCAAAAGTATTATTTTATTGTTCAATTTCAATTGGCTTCAGGCTGTGCTTAGTGGCAGAAATTAGCTGCTCTTTGATAACCTTCACTGAGAGAAATGTGACCATGATTTTTCTCTTGGACTCTCAGTGGATTTTGATACCATCAATCACGCTATCACCTTCTGAATAAGCTCTGCAAGCTTGGTTGGGAAGCTACTGCTTAGTTGGTCATTCTCCTACTAGCTTAGGGTTGATTCCAAATGATGGTGCTTAGAGACAATTGCTCAACTGCTGTGTAGTTCTGTGCAGGGGACACAACATTTTATCCCCCATGAGCTTTTTATCTACATGCAAGCATTGGGAGAGGCCTTCTAAAGATTCAGCATAACTCTTTTCAATCAAATGTGCAACTATGGATGTTCTGAAGCAACACATGGGCATGGTAATGGACTGGATGAGATTGAATAAATTGAAACTCAACTCAAGACAGTTTCTAAGTTACTGTCAGGGAGTGGTGTTGTCCACCAAAGTCAGTAGTGCTCAGCCTGCTGTGGAAGAGTTGCATTCTCACTGAAAGCAACTTGCTCGTAGTCTGCAGGTACTTATTGACTCAGCACAGTCATCAGAGGGCTTGAGTTGCATTGCTTGTCCTTTATCAGTTTAGTTAATACATTAGCTGTTACCATATCTGGATGGAGATAGTGTGGCCAAAGTCACTCATGATCTGGTAGTTTGAACTGCTGAAGGGCTGCCTTTAAAAACATTTTAAAGTCCAGATGGCTCAAAATAGTGTCACATGATTACTAATTGGAACTAGTCAATTTGATGATATTCCTTTATCAGTTGAACTAGTTGTGTTTCTGGTCCCAATTTAAAGTGCTCATTTTAACTTTTAATGCCACTATACTTGGGACTAGCTTACTTCAAAGACTGCTATTACATATGCTTACCTGGATCTTAAGATCTTCAGTGGCCCTACTTTGTGTGTACTAGAGAAAGGCCCTTAATGATGACACTCAACTATGGATGACTGCACCTTGTTATTGTTATGCAAAGCCTTTTAAACAATCTTGCATTTAAAAAAATCTTTCAAGGTCAGAGCTATGAATTACTCTTGTTTTTTTGCTTACTACAATGGGGACTATTTTAGTGTTATTATATTGTGTTGTATTGTAGGTTCTGTAAACCACCCAGAGAACATATATTGATGAATGTCTCTATAAATATGTTCAATAAGTAAATTAGGGCTGCAACATTTAGTCACTCATTTAGTTAAATGCATCTGTTCTTAAAATGCTTAGCTATGTTAAACACAAGCACTGCCTACAATACTACAAGAGCAATTGAGAAGGATCTCCCAATCTTTTTTTCAAAAAAGAGTGCCTTTTCTAAAATTTTGCCTGAGATGACATGTGCATGAAGTTCCTTTACTGTAGGTCTTCAAGTGGCCGTCTTTGCACTAACGCATATGGGCTCTGCATTTGGAGACTTGCTTGGGAAACATCAATAACTGAGGAATTTTTGGCAGGAAGCTTCTTCTGTCACCCTTCCATTTTATAAGTCAACAGCAATTTCCTGTTTATTTCCTCAGTTCCCTGAGACCACCCATAACAAGTGGAACCTTAGTATCAACACTAATACTGACATCAGCATCAAAGCAGAGGCAGAGGGTTAATGAATGTGAATGAAGAGATGACCACTTAATAAAACCAGAGTTACACAAAAAAACTGTCTTCTTTGTGGTCCCTCTGCATCACACATACAGGCATGTAACAAAATAGCGGATTAATGTCCTACGGAAAAACAGCAAACATAACTGTGAAGTTCAAGAAACAGCAGGCTCTGGATAGCACATCAAGTCTGCACTACTAAATCATAGGCTATGATATGTTATGTCATAACTATGCTATATTACATCATAACTATGCGTAACTATCTAAACTATCTGTTTAGACCAAGTGACAGTACACCTTCCATTCTGTGTTTAGCTTCATTACTTATACAAAAGTAGAGGGGCACACTGGGTTAACTGTGATATAACTGTATCACAGTTAGCTTCAAATTAATCCTCTTCCTTTATAATTTTCTTGTTCAGTAAGAATTCATCTGCACTACTGTGCCGTTACTGTACACTAATCTCAATTTAATGTGAATTCCATTCTTTCAACCTCCACCTCAGAGCTGGCCAGCCTGCTAACTATTATATTTTAAGAAATACAGGCAGTCCCTGGGTTATGAATGAGTTCTGTTCCTGAGAAAATGGAAATTTGTCTTTAAGTCAAATTTGTGTGTAAGTCAGATCATGTACAGTTAGCCCTTCACATTCACAAGGATTAGACATGCAGGACTCCCATGAAAGTGAAAAACCTGCAATATCTCTAAGCCTGCGCCCAAACTCACCAGTGCCTCCTCTTTGCAGCCAGGAAATGCCGGAGGGATTTCCCTCTTTGGATGGGCAAGACAGGAAGGCAAGCTTTGAAGGCATGCTCTCTACCCTTTCACTTCCTCTCTTTCTATGGTGATGCTCTGGGTGCCCTCCCTCTCTCTTCTTTCACTTCCTCTCTATGGTAATGACAATTTTCTGAAGTATTTTTTTTTTAAATTAATAGGCTTTATGGCAGTTCGTTTATAAGTACGGCCTGCTTATAACTTGGTAATTCATAACTTGGGGACTGCCTGTGTTAGATGGAAGAAAATTGAAACCCTCAAATTGCTTACTAACTCTATGATGTTGTCATTACGAACATTGCATGAGGGCAGAGAGCTGCATTGTTCATTTGTTTGTCTGATTTCCTTGTTTGCTATACATCTAGATTATTTGTAATTGCATGGGATTGCAATGGGAGAACTGCTCACAAGAAGCCTCTTGTATATATCCTCTTTACCAATTATCACACTGTGAGATGAATACAAGGGGGGTTTCTGTTACCACTAATTCTCTTCCTCCTCTCTGATTATATTGCGCAAGATGCCCCCACTGTTGTGCATTTAGGAACACTAATTTCTCAAAGTACGCAGGTTGGCAGCGTTTGCATAACAGAGCCCTGAGCACTGTCTCCTTCTATAAATATTTGTTTCCAGCTGTTCTGGGTTTTTCTCTAGAAAGCACTAAATCTCCTTTGCATAAGCAGTGGTTCCCATTTTCCCAGTGCAGTTGGCAATACCTACTACTTGGACAATGGAATCAGAGAAGTGAAGAAGAAACAGTGGGGTCATTAAGTACCCTATTGGATACTGCCCTATAAATTAGCTTGCATGCACAATGGGAAAAATAAAATGAGTGAGAAATATAGAGGAACCAGTAGGAAGCATATATGGCAAGCCCAAATGTAATGAAATACAGATGAGGACCACAGGTCTTTACACACTTATATTGGAATAAGACCCACTGAGTTCATTGCACTGAATACAAATTAGAGCTGGCAGATATCTCTAGCCTAAAATCCTATCTGAGAAATAGCCTTTGATTACAAATTAGCAGGCCTAACACAAACCACCAGGTTCAAATGCTTGTATCTGCCAAATCTGTCACCCAAGTATGACTTGAGGGTAATATCAATATTTATGTGCGCTCAAAAATCATTTTGGAAGCTTTTAACATAGGCTCCCTCCCAAATACACACCATTTTAGCCTCAGTTTTTTCCTTATGGTAATAGTGGTCTAGTGTGGGGCCTCTGGATCTCCAGACCCAAGCAAAGCATACCCCTTCTTTTCCACCACCCATGCTTGGGCCCTCATGCAAAGGAAATGGGTAACCTACCCTTTCTATGTTATTTTCATAACCTCTTGGTTGATGTCACATAGCCCTGTTTCCTTAAAAATCATTAACTGGTGTATGACTAACAAAAATGTAATCATAACCACAGAAGGTACCTGAAGCCCCATACCATGGGTCCTCAAACTATGGCCCAGGGGCCAGATCCGGCCCACCTCAGAGGTTTTCAACGCGCCGTGCGCACACCCATACACCACGGGGGCTGCACACGTCCGTCACCGCCCGCCTCCCACGTGGGAAGGCAGCGGCTTGCTCGCGAGATCATTTTGGACTTGCTAGGAGAAAATGATCTCCAAGCAAGCAAGGCGCTGCATCGTGCGCTCGCCGCTGCATCGCAGCATGCGCACTCCCGCCTTGCCTCCCCGTCTGTGCCTTGCTGTGCCCGTGCACCCTGCCCCCCACCTCAGCAAGAGTGCGCCCCACCCCCACCCCCTCGCCAGCATCCCATGTGCCCCGCCCACACCAGCTTTCCGGCCCGCACCCAGCACCAACACCTTTCAACTGGCCCCCTGGTGAAAAAGTTTGAGGACCCCTGTCCCATAGGATGCTGGCTGCAAAGCAGTGGTTGATGCAATTTGGATATGGGCAGAAAGAAGTCGCAGTCTGAAGGACCGAAAGGAGATATAAAATCTGTAATCAAATTGCCTGAAGTGTTTTTCTTTGCACCTCATGTTCACAGATGTTTTTTCCACCTGGTTTTCTACTATCCTCCTTCCTTCTCAGATCCCTTGCATCACAGCCTGCCCTATTCTGGTGGGCTCCTCTCAAGCCTTAGAAGAGGTTTTTCAGGGAGCTGATTGCAGTGTGCAAAAGTCATTAATTGCCCTCTACCAGTACTTTTCTGGATCTAAGCCAACGATGCATTCTGGGAACACAAATATTTTCAGAAAGGTGGGATACATAATTATCATATATACTAGGTTTAGGGAATACACAGTTTTAAAAAAAAAAAAAACAGAATTTTAGTCCATACTTCTCCTTCAAAGCCACCTTTTCCAATTCAAAGGCACTTAGTACTGAAACAGAAAATGAAAATATGTTCAGTATGTACAAAGTAACATGAATTAAATTACAAGAATTAATTACCTGGCCAGAGTCCCCAGTACAGATCTCAGTGATATCACACTCATTCACTGCATAACGACATTCAAAGCCTCGTGGAAAAAACTGGAAATCAAAAGATTTTTTGGACTAAGAACTAAGATATTCAATACAGAGAATTAAAGTGTTCTTTTGAAACATTCTTTTAATAGTGGAAAAGGAGAAAGGAATACAACTTTTACCCCAGCTGGTTGTGAGGTGTGTATATAATTTCTGATTCAGCAATTCTAAAGAAAGGAAGAGTTTATGCAACATGTATGTTCCCACCACTCTTCTGCTTCCAAGGTCTGCTTATAAGTCTGTTTCAGTGTAAAACAGTTAGGAGTAAGAAACATGCAGCTGCATGTAATATGTAATTTATTATATATTATCTTGAAATTCCGTATTAATGCTTGCATTAGAAACCTTATGAGTTTTTCAACAAGAGGTATTCTGCATCTGTTGAGAATATGAATTTGATTTATAAAGAAGTGGTGATTTAAGCAGATATGTAGCATTAAGTAATACCTTGTGCTGCAACTGTCCTGTACATTTGCCCCATCAATTGAACAAACCAAAGCACTCTTCCTCTAATATTTAAAACAAACATAAATCTTACTGTTTTTAGATTTTGAAAGCCATACCAACACGAAAATAATATTATGCAAGAAGATTTGTTTTTGTTTATACACTAGTAATAATCAAGAATAGGGAGGAAAAATAAGGACGTTTCTATCATCTATTACTCCATCCTAGTATATAGTTTACAAATGCAGAGGTGCCCAACCCAGAAAGCTCTGAAATTACCTTGTATGTATGATCCAGTGGTTGCTACAGTCCAAACACAGCAAGTAACTTAGGGTAACATGTTATTTTTTATCTTATTTTACCTTAGCATCAACTGTTGAGCCACACTGAAACCTCTTAAATTAGCATCACTTCTTCCGATTCAGTCATTAGCAACACATTACTGAAAACATTAATGGAATTTAATTTTGCAGTTTAAGACCATGATTCTAACAATTATTAACAGTAAGAATACTCACAAGACAGGTTTCATTACAACACGGGCCATCACTGCAATGAACTCCATTAGAAAGTGAGCATTTCTTACAGCATTCTGCATGGCAATCCTAAAAGAAAATATACTGTCATCTATTAACATTAAAGTAATACCACACTAATTTGCAGAATCACACAAAATATTCAACATGTACAGACTAAACAAGATAAATGGATGGTATCAGCATTAGTTTATTGCTATGTCACTTTTCCATACTAACCCTAAAACCATGTTCAAAGTAGCTTACAGAAACATTGGAAACATGAATAGAATAGAATAGAATAGAATACAGCAACATTTCAAGAGAGCTTATTAAAATGTATAAGTCATAACAACATTTATAACATAGCAGCATCTCTCATTCAATATAATAAACAATCCAATAATAATTCCTCCCAATACCTAATAAAAAAGAGAAAAAGCACCGGGGTGAAAAAGAAAGCGCACTGAGGTGGCAGACAAAGAGCAGCAGTGGTTTGGAAGGTGAAAAATAAAGGATGGGAGAGAAAAATTATACAATGGTACCTCAGTTCATGAACTTAATTAGTTCCATGATTCTGGTTGCAAACCAAATTGGTAGGGAACCGAATCAAATTTCCCCAAAATGTTCAATGTAATAAGGTTAATCCCTTCTGAACCATATGCAATTTTCTTTAAAACCACAAAAATATGAGCCATGTCCCCGGGCTGTGGACTAAGCCGCAGCCACCTAGTCAAGCCCGGGGGTGGACAGGCGAAGGCAGAGCAAGAGCAGGGCCGCAGCTCCTGTGCCTCCGCCACAGCCTTTTCAGGGCAAGCTGCTGCCACCGTCGAACAGCTGCCATGCTTCCTCCCCCTGCAGCGGGGAGAGGCAGGAGACGCCTGGCTTGGCCAGCGGCGGCCCCGTCTCTCGCCTCCCTTCCCCTCAGCCCACGGAAAGCAGACATTACCTCCCTCCTCACGGCCTTCTCCCAACCGGGAGAGCTGCCCCGCATGCACCTCTCTGGTCTCCTGCTCCCGCCTCCCCTGCCCCCAGAGCCGGGCGAGCACCTGAGAGGGGACCGTCCTCCGGCTTGAAAACGGGGCAGCGGTGAGGAGCTGGGAAGGCCTTGACTGAGGCAAACACACCCTTATGTCGTGCTCTCCCTTTCGGCGGGTGGTGTGGCATCATCTTGGGCTTCTGCTGCAGCTCGAGTGAGAGGAGCAAGCATTCCCAAAGTGCCCGGTGTGACCCTGAAGCTTACCAGATTGGCAGTGCAGGAGCCCTGTTCCAGGGCAAAGGGGAGACAGGATATTTCAAGAAAGCTGCATGAAGTGCTGTGGGGAAGTGTTTGTCACCTGGTGTGGAGTTTGCAAACGGAAGCAAAATTTTGCCGAACCGAAGCATTCGTGAACCAAGGTATTACTGTTTGGAGGTATGTTAGAGGGCAGTGGGCATCTCTTGTTCAGGGGTCTCTTAACTCTGGGAGTGTCACTGCCCACAGCTAGATAGTCTTCAGACAACTAGATGACTGCACAATCTTCCTACACAACATAACCATCAAACTGTGTAAGAATCCAGTATAAGCAATCTTATGTGCTGAACATTTCAGAATAAAGAAGCATAATAAATGACAAAACATTAAAATGCATGTATTTTTGTTTAGGGCTCAAGACCTACATGACCTGACCAAACTGAAATAATACATTTGAAATAATATTGAGCAATACATTTATCTAGCTTAAATGGGACACTGCCAAATCCCTTTTTTGTGACAGTTCCCTCTAATTTCCTAAGCAGAAGGTTTATCACATTCCCTATTTGAAGCTGATATAGCATTTAGAAAACAAAGCCATATTTTCTGTTTGTATTCCTGCAGGGAAGTCCTTTTCCTTGTTCTAAGGTCTAATAATAATAATAATAAGTGAAGGTCTAATAACAGGAAAACTACCATTTTCTTTTTTGATATATTAGTTCTTGTGACAAATCTTTTCCACATTTCCCACTGAAATTCCACTGATTCAGTTATTTGGTTACAGTAGTTATAGCATGATTCTTGTGGTTAACGGAACTTTAAGCTTTCGTTTTATGGGGCAGTTTATCATATGAATAGCACAGATAAGGTAATGGTTACATGTATATTAAAAATAATACCGTTTGTAAACCACAATCACAGTCTTCTCCAGGTTCCACATACCCATTTCCACATTCAGTTGTGTCAAACAACTAAAAGAGAAAAATACACAAAATGTTATCACAAAGGATCACAGCTTACTTCCATTAAAAGATTAACGCACATATTTAATTTCTCAAAATGAAGTGAATTCACATTCACATTCTGAAGCAGCATTATAATACACTCTACATTTCTGACATAGATTTAACTCGGACCAAACGACAAAAGTGAACCAGGTGAAAAATAAGCTCATCTGGTTAACAGAGTGCCTTTTTTTCTTCTCTTACTTTGGTAATTGACAAAGCACAGGCAAAAGAGGACACATGGCAAGGTGAACCAACACTAAGTTAATGGAGGATCTCTTTCCCAATGGTTATTTCACTGGAATAAATTTTATAATCAAACACAATTCTTGCCAAAATGGTACAATTGACATGTATCGTTTCCTTACATGTTTAGTGTAGACATTGTAGGATTACTCCATGATCAATCAACAGCACTGGAAACAGAAAAAAATAGAATGGCAAGATCCTAAAGAACCAAGGCTAGGAGGACTTCTGGTTTGTTTTTCTGAAGCACAAGATTTTGATTCAAGAGGTTTAGCATCATGTTCCATGGGGTGGTGCTGGCCACAGTGAATTGGGTGTTGTGTCATCCAAACCCAGACAGTTTCCTGCAGGATGGCTTGGAAGTAAATAAGCCACCCTAACATCAAATGGCTTGTGCTAGGGGCTGCTGAACTCAAAGCAGACTGTAATTTTGACCAAATGTAGGAGATCAATCTTATTACATAAGAGTGTAGGAAGCTGGCAAGAGCAGGCAAAAAACGTTTCACCTCTTAGTCAACTAACCCATGCTGCAGGCAATGACAGCAGTAGTTCAGTGCAACTATCACCGGTCTGCTACTTTTAAAAATGTCTTCATAATAGTTACTCTTTATTTTTGTTGTCCCTTCGGAATTGTGCAAATTGTGCATTTACAGATCTCAAAAATAATGTGTTCCTTTGCTTGAGCTAGAATAATAAGGGAAGACTGTGTATACAGGCTGAACTGCAAACAGTTGACAATTGTCAAGTGCAATGCCTTCCTCCCTGTAATTTAACCTATATCTTACTTTATTATTCTGTTACTATTGGATATCTATAACTGACCAGGCAAAACAAAATTATTTTTGACAGCCCAAACACACTGTTGTGCAACTCCAAAAGACTAGAAATTTAAAACAAAGTAATTATAAAGACATTTGCACACATTTCTGTCAACAAAGTGGTTTGCTCTCTCTCTTTTTTTTTTACAGGTGAACATTTGACAGTTGCTCTAAAGTGTAATTTGGTTATCAGTGGAGCAATTGTCACTGGAGCAGCATGGGGTACCAGAAAAACAAATATGGTGTTTGAATTCTTCTTCTTCAGCATCAGCATCGTCAGCATCAGCATCCTTCCCCACAGCCAAAACTTTCTGGGTGATTTATAACAATAGTGTCATAACTGGAGCAAGGACAAGGAGACAAGATGGATTTTGCTGGCCAGGATACTGGCCGGAGGACCAGGATAGATAAGGAGGGAAAGAGCAATGCACAGTAAGCTCAATCAACCATCAAGTGTCTTGATGGTCATTGTACAAACAACCCACACTGCATAGCTCAATCGTAGGGTGATTTCCCATGTTGTGCAGACTTGTTCATAATGTTTTTATTGTAAGCTGTTTTGGAAAATCTATTTAACAAGGTATGTAGAGCTATAATCTGAAAGGACTTTCAAAATCTGTATGAGATACAGTTTTGCTATTGAAAGTAAAAAAATAAAAATAAAAACCTCTCTACTTATGGTTTCCATCAACCTCTGTGAGCTCAAACTCTTTGACATGCCTAAAGTAACTGGCTAATTCAGTCTAGCTTCTGCAGTAAGCACTACGACATTAAAGGCTGCCTTCCAAAGACATTGCCAAGGATGTGATGTGATTAGCTTAACCCATGTTATCCATGAAGGGAAACACTTATTTGCACCTTGGCAATTAACTTTCCTTCAAATGATGTATTCAACTTGTGTGCAAGTTGGAAAGCTGACTGAACAGATAGGTTCAATCAGGTGGAGCAGTGGTGGGAAGTGGGAAACAGAACAACTGCCATTTCAGTCCTGGATATGTTTTCCTCTTCTCTCCAAACATTTACAATTGGTCACACCCTAAGCATGAATAAAGTCCATCCACAATGTTTCCAAACCAAAATTTGAAATACTAAAAGCAACAATACATCACACACCATCATATTCTAAATTAAGTAGCTCCAGACATGCAACAGTAGAGAAAAACATTAAAATACTTTAACTGGTTGAGATTTATTTTTAAATTCTCTACTGTTCTCACATTTGCAATAAATGTATTAGAATGTGTGCCACACCTTAAAGTTAGCTAGTGGCCAGAGCAGGAATGGAGGCATGCAGAGTGAAAAGTTTTTTCCTCCCTCCCTACATTTCCTTATCTGCCCTTTATCCACTCAGTATTGTTTCCTGCCTACCACCTCCTCACATTACCACAAGATAAAGAATAGTTCATTCCACCATAAAGAATGTACCTTTGTTGGCCTGTTGAAAAGACAGGAACCTCCCCCTCGGAGCAGAAAGTCTTTGTATTCTGCAATACTGCACTTTGAGAATTTTCTGGGATGGTAGACACTAAACATAAAATAAAAATTAGGAAAAATGCTTCATAGCAAAGCTATAAAGAAATCTGTAGTCTACCAAAAAAAACTGATATCATTTTACTCATGCAGATATAACTATTCCAGCTCCACACAGCTTATTGCAATCTCTTCACAGTTTGCAAAATTTTTCTAAATAATATTTTGTTTGGCACTTGTCAAGACAATAATTTATCTACCATTTCCTTGACTGAACATCACCAACTAAGGCTAAGCTGCATTTACTCTCATTAATAAACTAATACCATGGGTTGGCTCACATATCATGATAAACCAGCCAGAAAATAATCCAGATTATTTTCAAAAGATGATCAGGAGTTCTGCAGCTTGCCATAGACTGTTTCTCCCTTAATCTTCTTGCCAGCTCCTGGCATGTGTCACATTGGTCTTCACAGCACAACTTCAGTAGCTTACTTTGCTAATGAGTACAATGAGAAAAATTTATTTGGTAGAACTTTTTACCACCTTCAGGAATATTTAAAAACATTTAATGTATTTTTAACCTTCAAATAAGATTTCTGTAAAGTTAACCTAAAAGGAAAAAGATTCAGGGAAGATTCAGGAGATTTGCAGAAATTTGTTAAAGGACTAAGGACCATATAAGGTGTATCAGTCTTGAGGATACCCCATGGAACATAGTGTCCATGGTATGGAGGTGGGCAGTGCATTCTAAGCATCTGTCCAGTCAGAGAGAGGAGAGCAGGAGCAAACTCTGTGGCAATTTGATCTGAGGTGCGCTGGTTCAAATAAGAGATGGCACCCAACCAAAGTGATACCAAGGCCAGGAATCAACATGTCCCTCTTCTAAGCAGAAAAGGCGGAGGGAAGGACTGTTAGCTGGCCCTCCCACAGCTGATACACTTTTCTGAAGTACTCCTTCAGTGCCATCCCAGTTAAGAAGGAAATGATTTTAGGAAGAGAGTATTAGAAAAGAGATGCAGAGGAAGAGACAAAAACAATGAAGACTAAATGAAGGGAATTTTATACATAAGCAAACATGAAAAAGAATAGCAAGGTAAGGAAAAACACAAGGAAAAGAGTTTGTCAGATATGGGAAGATAGTAAGAAGCCACTAGGAAAATAGTAACATGTTGTAAGAAAAAACTTTATGAATTTTAAGGAGAGATTGATGGTGGTCAAAGAACTGAGGGAGCAAGTACAGCTTCTCCTATATACTGGCACTGAGGATGAGAGGAAGAGTTCCTGCAAAACTCTCAGTTGTAAAAACTTCCCAATAACAGACACAGTGACAGAGCCCATTTTGCTCATGATAGTGAGAGATCTAGTGATGCTAAATAGGGAAGGGAGGCTGGTGGCCACACAACATGGTTTCTGCAAAAACAAGTCCTGCCAGACAAACCTTGTGGAATTCTACAACAAGGTTTTGAGGTGGCTAGATGGAGGGGATGCAGTGGATGTGGTTTACTGGATTTCAGCAAGGCCTTTGACAAAGTGCCCCATGATCTCCTGGTGGAGAAACTGAGGCGTTTTGGGATACACCAAAGCACTGTCCAATGGATTATGGCATGGTTGACTGACTGAAAGCAGAGGGTAACCATTAGTGGGGAATCATTGGGATGGCGGCCAGTGACAAGCAGGGTCCCCCAGGGGTCTGTCCTGGGGCCAATCCTGTTTAATCTCTTCATCAGTGACATGGAAGAAGGGGTAAACAGTCTGCTGATCAAAATTGCAGACAATACTAACACTGGGGCAGTGGCCACAACTGAGGAGCAGGTACTCCGGATCCAAAAGGATCTGGACAGACTATGGAAGTGGGCAGGAGACAACAGGATGGTGTTCAATGTGGGTAAGTGCAAGGTCTTGCACTTGGGGCATAGGAATAGGTGTCATAAATACAGGTTAGGTGACAAGTGGATGGAGAGCAGCACTTGTGAAAGGGAACCAGGTGCTGGTTGACTGCAGGCTAAACATGAGTCAGCAGTGTGATGCTGTGGTTAACAGGGCGAACACCACCCTTGGTTGCATAGCCAGAAGTGTGCCTTCTAGATCAAGAGACGTATTACTACCACTCTATATGACTCTTGTGCGCCCGCAGCTGGAGTATTGTGTTCAGTTTTGGGCCTCTCATTACAGGAAGGATATAGCCAGGTTAGAGTCAGTGCAGTTTAGGGCCACAAGGTTGGTGGCTGGTTTGCCAAATGAGGTGAGACTGAGGGAACTGGGACTCTTCAGCCTGGAGGAGACTTCTGTTGGCAATCTGTTGGCAACACACAGGTATGTGAGGGGGTGTCACACATGGGTAGAGACCTGTTCTCCCCCACAGAGGAAGGCAGGACACGCTCCAACGGAGCAAAGCTCAGGGAACCAAGGTTCAATCGAGATGCCAGGAAGTACTTCCTGAGAGTTAGGACCCCAAGGGTATGGAATGGACTTCCACGGGAAGTGATTGAGGCCACATCGGTGAGGGTGTTCAAAGATAGGCTAGACATGCACATGGTGGGAGCCCCCTTCTGACTCACTCTGCTTCTGTGTTTCTATGTTTTGTGTGATACACAGAGACCACATAAAAGAAAAATGTGTTGTTGTCTAAGAAGGCAATGAAATGGAGGAGTAAATTGAGTTGTGTTATTTCAAAGTGTAATAGAGAGGGATATGAGGAAGGAGTTTTTTTTATACTTTTGTTAAGTGGCTCTGAAGCTCTTTCCAACAGATTCCACAGCCAACACTGAAGTAAAACTCCTCTGAACAACCCAACAAGGTTGTGCAGCTTGCGTGTGGGTTAACAAAACATACTAAGAAAACAGCATGGGTTACAGATGTTCTAGAAAACCACCTTGAAACTCTCTCTCCCCCACCCTCTGAGGAATGCTAATGTTAAAATTGCTAACACCTTTGCATGAAAGCTGCACCTGCCAAAATTAAAAAAGGCAGAGATATGACTATCTGCTAAGTTTGTATGTTTGTCTTTAAATGACAAAAAACCTGACTGAATTAACAGAATGTACAATGTTAGATTTTATCACTTTACAACATGAAGCAATAATGAAGATACCAGAACTAAACATGCAATGTTATTCATGTGCTGGTTAACTGGTTAAGGCAGGCTGCTTCGAGTGGTCATCCATGCATTAAACCATTATTATTATTATTATTATTATTATTATTATTACATTTTTATACTGCCCATAGCCAAAGCTCTCTAGGCAGTTAACAGCAATAATCATAGAATCATACACTCAGGTCACCCATCCCACTTCTGCCCAGGCCTGACCCTGCTTAGCTTCCAAGATTAGGCAGGATCAGGCACTTAAAGCTCTTAAATCTTCCTGGCAACAGGTACTGTGCAGGCGCAGCACCCATAATGTGTGATGCTCGGAGACCACAATGAAGAACATCTAGGTTTGACTATTGTAATGCCCTCAACTTGGTGTTGCCTTTGGTGACAGTTCAGAAACTCCAGTTGGTACAAAACATAGTTGCCAGGATGCAAGCAGGAACTAGATAGAGGGCTCATAGTTTGTAAGCCCTGTATCACATACATTAGTTACAAATTTGTTTCTGGATAATTTAAAATGCTAATTTTGACCTTCAATATTTCCACAGGAAAATTAGTCCCTCCTCAAACACTATAGTTAATTTCCTTCTTTAGTTTTTTTAAATGAACTCAGAAGATTTTGTTTTGTTTTGTTTTGCTTAGGCTTCCTTGATTATTTGTACAGCTTTCTTAGATGGTGAAAGTCAAAAACACTGGTATATTCTGCTTTGCTTTTTACTAAAACTTACCCTTTCTTTACCAATGTTATTGTAAGATTTGTCCCAGGTTTCCAAATATCCTATACAGAAGATATTCAGATTAAGGCTCAGAAACTACACTCAACAGGCTTGTCCTATAATTTGTTACCAGGATTCAGTTTGTTACCTTTTTAACAATTACACAATGACTGGGAGCAATACGCTGGAGGATCAGGACAAAGGCAACACATGTGATGAGTTTATATATGTAAACAGTCTAGAAAAAATAGGGACCCACCATTCAGAGTTTATCTTTAATAGCTCAGGAGGCAGCACAACTGCACTTGACACTGTCCCCTTACTGTAATCTCCTCCATAACCTCATCTATAGTCATTGGCTGCCACTGAGTAAAATCTGTTCATTACAGAATTTAGAAAGGGCAGAATGGTTATCAGAGTATTAACAAAAAACTGTGCTGTAATGCAAAAATAATTATTTTGGTGAACAATTTCCTCCATAATTCTACCTTTATCCTCCCTACCTCCACCTATCTCCACGATTTAACTTCATTTTTGCTTACTAATGCTGTTCCAACCTTTTGCACCTTTTCATATAAAAATCTTTTTTGTTCCCTTTGAGTATTTTTTAGGTATCTTGTGAGCCAGTAAAGCTATAGCATTTTCTCCTCATCTACCTTAATGGGCTTCTTTGATCTGTTTGACTATGAACTTTTTCCCTGCCCTGCATGCTTTCTCAAATCAAGTGAATGATGACACACTGTTCTTTTTCTTCTATACTAGATATTATTAATATAAATATTATTACATTTTCTTGATATATTTCTATTATATTTATTTCACAAAAGTACCTGAAGAATTAACTTCAGGGAGCCTTTCAGCTGAAATTAAATAAATAAATAAATTTTCTTAAGTGACCAAAGACATGTAAGAAGAAAGATACAACTTTTTCTTTCCTGTCATCAGTTTGAAAAGGATTATTTATTTCTGGCTGAGAAATAACTGCTTTATTATAGTGTCAAATTCAGTTGTTTGTACAGTAATACCTTGGATTGCGTCATGAGTTCGTAACTCACGTCCCCAATTAACTCACACAGCAGTCGGCTATAAAACTAGTCTTTTATTGCTACTTTCTACAAGATTTACGATGTAACAGATAAGCTCTAATGAGAAAGTCTTAATAGGTCAGTTGCTCTCCCCTTTGTGAAGTCTCTGGGAAGCCCACGTGGGATTAGCTTTTCCTGTCATGTCTTTCCGCTCATA